CTATGAAAATTTAAAATGTTAACAGTTGAGGAAACTGAGTGGGAGGTATTTGGGACCTCTTTATACTGTCTTTGCAACTTTTTGTAAATCTATAATTTTTTTTTTTTTAAGATTTTATTTATTTATTTGACGGAGAGAGAGGGAACACAAGCAGGGAGAGTAGAGAGGGAGAAGCAGGCTTCCCGCAGACCAGGGAGCCCGATGTGGGACTCGATCCCAGGACCCTGAGCCGAAGGCAGATGCTTAACGACTGAGCCACCCAGGCGCCCCTGCAACTTTTTGTAAATCTAAAATTAGTCCAAAATAAAGTTTATTTTAAAAAATGAGTTGGGAAGAGTTAAACTTTTAAATAATGAAGGCAAAATATGTTTGTTGTAGAAAATGTGAATGATAAAAATATAAGGTAGTAAATGAAAACCTTTCATAATCCTACTACTCATAGATAACTGATAATTTTGGTATTTTATTCAAGACTCAATTCTATGCATATTCCATTCAGCAAATAATTATTAGGCTCCTTTTGGGCCAGACACCATGCTAGGTGCTTGGTGATTGAACTGTTGCTAGGGTAGAAAGTCTGAGTTGGTTGCTTTCTGTGAATAAGAATAATGAAGTTCTCAACACCATTTGTTGAAGAGACTGTCTTTTTTCCATTGGACATTCTTTCCTGCTTTGTTGAAGATTAGTTGACCATAGAGTGGAGGGTCCATTTCTGGGCTCTCTATTCTGTTCCATTGATCTATGTGTCTGTTTTTGTGCCAGTACCATACTGTCTTGATGAGGACAGCTTTGTGATAGAGCTGGAAGTTCCTTACACCACACACAAAATTTCAACTCAAAATGGTTGAAAGACCTAAATGTGAGACAGAAGTCCCTCAAAATCCTAAAGGAGAACACAGGCAGCAACCTCTTTGACCTCAGCTGCAGCAGCTTCTTTCTAGAAACATCACCAAAGGCAAGGAAAGCAAGGGCAAAAATGAACTGTTGGGACTTCATCAAGATAAAAAGCTTTTGCAGAGCAAAAGAAACAGTCAAAACCAAAAGACAGCTGACAGAATGGGAGAAGATATTTGCAAATGACATATCAGATAAAGGGCTAGTATCCAAAATCTATAAAGAACTCATCAAACTCAACACCCAAAGAACAAATGATCCAATCAAGAAATGGGCAGAAGACATGAACAGACATTTTTCCAAAGAAGACATCCAAATGGCCAACAGACACATGAAAAAGTGCTCAACATCGCTCGGCATCAGGGAAATCCAAATCAAAACCTCATTGAGATACCACCTCACACCAGTCAGAATGGCTAAAATTAACAACTCAGGAAATGACAGATGTTGGCGGGGATGTGGAGAAAGGGGAACCCCTCCTACACTGTTGGTGGGAATGCAAACTGGTGCAGCCACTCTGGAAAACAGTATGGAGGTTCCTCAAAAAGTTGAAAAAAGAGCTACCATACAACCCAGCAATTGCACTACTGGGTATTTACCCCAAAGAGACAAATGTAGTGATCCGAAGGGGTACGTGCACCTCGGTGTTTATAGCAGCGATGTCCACTGTAGCCAAACTGTGGAAAGAGCCAAGATATCCATCGACAGATGAATGGATAAAGAAGATGTGGTATACATATATATGCAATGGAATATTATGCAGCCATCAAAAGGAATGGAATCTTACCATTTGCAACGATGTGGATGGAACTGGAGGGTATTATGCTGAGCGAAATAAGTCAATCAAAGACATGCATCATATGATCTCACTGATATGAGGAATTCTTAATCTCAGGAAACAAACTGAGGGTTGCTGGAGTGGTGGGGGGTGGGAGGGATGGGGTGGCTGGGTGATAGACATTGGGGAGGGTATGTGCATTGCTAAGCGCTGTGAATTGTTTAAGACTGTTGAATCACAGACCTGTACCTCTGAAACAAGTAATACATTATATGTTAAAAAAAAAGAAGATAGCAGGAAGGGAAAAATGAAGGGGGGGAAATCGGAGGAGGAGATGAACCATGAGAGACTATGGACTCTGAGAAACAAACTGAGGGTTCTAGAAGGGAGGGGGGTAGGGGGATGGGTTAGGCTGGTGATGGGTATTAAAGAGGGCACGTACTGCATGGAGCACTGGGTGTTATACACAAACAATCATGGAACACTACATCAAATATTAATGATGTAATGTATGGTGACTAATATAACATAATAAAATAAAATTTAAAAAAAGGCATGATGAGATGGTTATATCATGAATCTTCTCAGTAAAGGGTTTTTTAGAAATTCTTAAAATTAAGTTAATAAAATACTACCACTACCCCCCCCCCCCAAAATACTACCACTACCATTTAGCGGCTGTCTATTGGAAAAAGGTCAAAACTCTTTCAAATGGTCTACTCAGAATTATTTTTAGAAATAAATAATTCTAAGGTTCATGTGATACTTAGTCTAAGCAGTGTCATGTTCTTAATAAATTTGACACTCTTTGTATTCTGTTGCCAACTGCCTTGTAAACATTTTCTGCACCTGTATCTCCAGGTCACTTCAGTCAGAGCAACCTATTTCACCTACCCAATATGTCTGGAGTAAGGGACTTCCCTAATTTGTGTGTTTGTGTAAGAGCAAGGTAATGCATTTAGGGAAAACTAACCCATACTAAGTTTATGAAGTGCTGTAATTGAAGATGTTACTAATGAACAAAGAAAAAGAACTTGGTATTATAAAGTGATACCTTGATAAAAATAGCCTAAAATACCAATGGAAAGCCAGCCAAATACTGATTATCGTCACAAAGGTCATTGGAGGGGCGCCTGGGTGGCTCAATCAGTTCAGTGTCCGACTCTTGGTTTCGGCTCAGGTCATGGTCCTAGGGTTGCAGTATCGAGCCCAGCATTGGGCTCTGCGCTCAGTGGGAGTCTGCTTGAGATTCTTTCCCTCTGCCCCCCCCCCACATATGCACACTCGTGCATACTCCCTGTAGAATAATAAATAAATCTTTTAAAAAAATCATTGGAGGGGCGCCTGGGTGGCTCCTTCGTTAAGCATCTGCCTTTGGCTCAGGACATGGTCCCAGGGTCCTGGGATCAAGCCCCACATTGGGCTCCCTTCTCGGTGGGAAGCCTGCTTCTCCTTCTCCCACTCCCCCTGTTTGTGTTCCCTCTCTCGCTGTCTCTCTCTCTGTCAAATAAATAAATAAAATCTTTAAAAAAATAAAATAAAAAACAATTTTTTTAAAAGTCCACAGAAAGTTAACTGAAATTCAGTCAAGGAATAATTTTTGTGTGTGTACTCTACCTGTCTCACCATAATGTCGTGAAGTCATCACATTTCTCCTGTGCATGTAGAACATTACCTATGAACTGTTCTTAGAGTTAAGAAAATAGTTGGTTAAATCATATTTTGTGTTGTGGGTCCAATTAAGAATTCTATTTCAAAAAGCTTTCAGGAGTTATGAGCTAAGCCTATAACATCATATGGTGAAGTAAATACTTAAAATCATGGGGAGTCTATGGATCTTAAACAGTTCCAACATACTGTCATTTAGAGGAAATTCCTTGGAAGAAGCTGTGCTTAGAACAAATAAAAGTCAATGTACATACTTACAAACTTGTTTTCTGTAACTGATTGAGACTATAAATAAGATTAGACTAGAGTGGTTTAGGGTAGGGAAGCAAAAAAATAAATATAAATCCATATTAGATGTTAATAGAATTAAAGATAGGATAAATTTCTAACTCAAAAACTTTTGAATTGTGAAATGTAACATATACCAGAAAAATGCATAAAGCATAATTTTACAGCTTAGTGAGTTATCACAAAGCAGGGACTTTTGCAGCATAACCAGATTAAGAAAATAAAGTATTGGGGCTACTGGGTGGCTTAGTTGGTTGAACATCCAACTCTTAAGTTTCAGCTCAGGTCATGATCTCATGGATCATGAGATTCAGCCTGCCTTGGGCTCAGGGGATAGTCTGCTTCATTCTCTCCCTCTGCCTCTCCTCTCTCTCATAGGCCTGTGTGCACACACATGTGCTCTCTCTCTGTCCCTCTCTCTCTTTAAAATCAATCAGTCAATCAATCTTTAAAAAAGAAAAGAAAGCATTACTATACTTCAGAAGCCTCCTGCGTGTACCTTAACAATCACAACCCTTTTCCCTAGAGGTAAATATTTTCTTTGTAACTTTTTTTTTTTTTTTGATGATCTAAGTATACGTCCTTAAAATTATAATTTAGCATTGCCTGTTTTGGAAAATTACAGATTATTAAATGAATGGAATTATATGGTATGTATTTCTTGCTTGTGTTTATGCAATGTGATTTTCAAGAATCTTTTATATTGCAGGCAGTAGGTGTTTGTTGCCATGTTGCTCTAGACTATATTATTCTTTTTTATGAATATACCATAGTTTACCTGTTTATTTTAATACTGATGGATCTTTGAATTATCAGCAGTTTTTGGTGGTTACAAACAATGCTACTTTGATTATTTTGCATTCCTTCTGGTGGATATGTGCGTAAATTTCATTTGGCGTGAATTTGTTGCAGCATAGGTTATATTTTCCATAGTGGTGTTCCCATTTACACTCGGGAGAGCTTCCTTTGCTCCACATTCACCAACCTCTTGATATTGTCACACTTAATTTTGTCCATCTATTGGCTAAGTAATGGATTCAGATTGTGGTTTTGATTTGCATTTCCTTGGTCACTGAGGAGCATTTTTTCATTCTAATTGGCTATTTAAAAAATTTTTTTGAGGTACCTATTTAAGTCATTTGCCCATTTTTCTGTTAATGTGTCTGAGAGATTTGTAAAAGTTCTTTATTTTCTATATAAAAGCTTTTGTTGGTCATATCGTTACAAATATTTTCTGTTCTGTGGGTCTTGTTTCATTTTCTGTTGTAGTCTCTTTGGGCTGCTATAACAAAAATACTACAGACTGGGTAACTTCAACAAACATGGTTTTCAGTTTTATTTTTATGTATTGCTCACAGTTTATTTCTTACAGTTTTGGAGGCTGGGAAGTCCAAGAGCAAGACACTGGCCGACTCAGGGTCTGGTAAGGAGGGGTTGCTTCTGGTTCATAGTCTGCCATCTTTTTGCTGTGTCCTTGAGGTAACTCGCTACAGTCTCTTTGAAAGGGCACTAATCCCATTCCTGACCACCCTCATGACCTAATAACCTCCCAAAGGTCCCACCTTCAAATACCATCACATTGGGGATTAACTTTCAATGTAAAAATTTGGTGGGATACAAACATTCAGTCTGTAGCATTCTCCTAATGGACAAATTATGAACGAATATTCTTACTTGTAATATGGTCCTGTGTATTAATCTTTTGCTTTATGGCTAATGATTTTTGTGTCTTAAGAAAAATTTCCCTACCCTGAGATCATGAATATATTTTCCTGTATTATTTTGTAAGAACTATATTTGCCTTTCACTATAGAACTATATTTGAGCTTCAGGTCTATAATTACCTGAGTGGTGTGTGTATGTGTGTGTGTGTGTGTGTATGTGTATGTATGTGTAGGTGAATGGATTAAGGTGTATTTAATTTTTTTCCATGTAGATAGCCAGTTGTCCTAATGCCAATTACTAAGAAAATCATTTTTTATTCACTCTTCTATAATGTAACCTCTGCTGTATATCAAGGCGCATATGTAGGAGGATCTATTTCTTGACTCTTTATTCTGTGTGACTGGTTTGTTTATTTATTTTAGCTGTATGCCAGAGGCATTCTGTTTATAATGTTACTGTGATGAAAACAGTCTCAGTATCTGGTAAAGCAAGTCCTCTCACTTTATCTTTAAGATTGTCTTGATTATTTTAGGGCCTTTATTTCTATGTAAATTTTAGTGTCATTTGTCATAAAAAAGCCTGTTGGGTTTGTAACTAGAGCCCAGGGATGCAAGAGCACCTGGCTCCCGGGGTCCCAAACAGACCAGGTTTGGCCACTCCCCACTGACAAAATTCGAAGGCAGTGAGACAAGTGATGGTTGAAACAAGAAGGGAGTTTATTTCAATGAGGCCAAGGCCAGGAGGATAGTGGACTAACGTTTCAAAGACTGTCTCCAAAATGCAGAAAATACTCCTAGGTTTATATAAGGAGAATGTGGGACAAAGGTTGATGGGGCCGTGCAACATGTGCCGTAAAGGTCAGTCAGGTTGATCATTGTCTTGGTGTAAAAAAATGTGGGGTCTGTGGTATATATATACACAATGGAATATTATGCAGCCATCAAAAGGAATGAGATCTTGCCATTTGCAACGACGTGGATGGAACTGGAGGGTATTATGTTGAGTGAAATAAGTCAAACAGAGAAAGACATGTATCATATGATCTCACTGATATGAGGAATTCTTAATCGCAGGAAACAAACTGAGTGTTGTTGGAGTGGGGGGTGGGGTGGGAGGGATGGGGTGACTGGGTGATGGACACTGGGGAGGGTGTGTGCTCTGGTAAGCGCTGTGAATTGTGCAAGACTGTTGAATCTCAGATCTGTACCTCTGAAACAAATAATGCAATATATGTTAAGAAAAAAAAAAAGAAGAAGAAGAAGGTAGCGGGAGGGGAAGAATGAAGCGGGGGAAATCGGAGGGGTAGACGAACCATGAGAGACGATAGACTCTGAAAAACAAACTGAGGGTTCTAGAGCGGAGGGGAGTGAGAGGATGGGTTAGCCTGGTGGTGGGTATTGAGGAGGGCACATTCTGCATGGAGCACTGGGTGTTGTGCACAAACAATGAATCATGGCACACTTCATCTAAAACTAATGATGTAATGTATGGGGATTAACATAAGAATAAAATAAAAAAAAAGAAAACAAACATTTAAAATAAATATATGTATATCATACATGTAAAAAAAAAATGTGGGGTCTTGCTGGTGTCAGGGCAGTTATTATTGCTTGAGGGGTAGTTTGAGTTCCCATTACAGGATGCTTTGCCCATTGGGTTGGTTGCCTAAGCTGGAAAGAAGAACTTAATCAGTTAGAAAGTACAGACTAAGGTCAAAACAGAGGTAAAGTCTTCTTTCAGGTTTTTGATTGGCATTTAATTGAGTCTGTAGTTCAGTTTGAATCTAATTCTTGAACATGGTATGCTCCTCTATATACTTGAGTCTTTTTAAATGTCTTCCAATAAAGTTTTAGTCATTATTTGTCTTCATTATTTGTTACACTCATTCCTAGGTTATTTTTATAATGCTATTGGTATTTAATGCTATTTTTATCTTTAAATTTAATATTCTATCTGCTGGCATATTTTGAAATACAGCTTTTGAATATTGATTTTTTAAAATTCATCAACCTTGCATAACCCTAATTATAATGACCTATTTGTGATGTCTTTTAAGTATATAGTCGTATCATTGGCAAATAGTGACCATTTTGTTTCTTCCTAGTCTTTATAGTTTTCCCTACCCTTTCCCCTCTTGCTTAACTGCACTGGCTAGGTCCTCTAGTAAACAGTTGAATGGAAATGGTGATTGCCGGCATTTTTTGTCTTTTTCTGATCCTGAAGTTTCACCATTCAGTATTCATCTTCAAATTTAAGTATGATGTTAATCTGAGATTTTGTGTTATCTTTTATCAGATTAAACAGGTTTACATCCATTCCTGGTTGATTTAAGAATATATAATTTAAAATCATGAATGGTTGTTGAATTTATCATTTTCCTTCCATTTTTTGCAATGATCATTTGATTTATATCTCCTTTGTTTCTGTTAATAAACAGTTGATTTTCAGGTGCTTAAGCCAACTTGCATTCCTTGTATAAACTCAGTTTGATCATTGATGTAGTAGTGTATTGTTTTAGGTTTTTCTTTTATATATAAATTGCTGGGTTTGGTTTACTTTTGTTTAGGGTTTTTACATCTGTTCATAACGGATTGCTGGTAGCTTTCCTTTGTCATTCTGTTCTCATTTTGGTATCAAGGTTATATTCCTCTCATAAAGTGAGTTGTAGATAATGCCTTCTTTTTCTAGTCTCTGGAGTGGTTAATAAAAGGCTGGCATTATTTTTTTCTTCCTAAATTTTAGTAGAATTTGCCAGTGAAACTCCAGGCTTAGAATTTTCTTTGTAGGAAGGTTTTAAATTATATTTCGAATTCTTTAATAGTTATAGCACTATTCTGATTTTCTGTTTGTTTCTAGATCTGTTTGATAAACTGTATTTTTTTCAAAATTTACCTTTTTACTTAAAAATTGTATTGGTGTAAAGTCATTTGAATGCCTGCAGTTACCGTAGTCTTGTCTTCTTTTTCTTCCTGATAGTGGTAATTTGTGCTCTCATTGTCTTCTCCTTCCCTCCTTTTCCCCTTCCTTATCTTCTTTGCTGTTCACCTTATTAATCAATATCACTGTAGATTTATCAATCAGTCTTTCCAATGGACTAGCGTTGCTTTGTGTGTTTTTTTTTTAATTTGTATTTGTTTTCTGCTTCATTAGTTTCTGATCACATTTTGTTCTACGTTCTTTGGGCTTATTTTGCTGTATTTTTTTTTCCTCTAACTAATTGAAATGAAAGGTTAGCTTCTTAATTTTAAGCTTCTTTTCAGGTGAATACATTTATGTGAATGTCCCTCCCAATACTGTTTTTATCTTCATGTCATAGGCCTTTATTATTATCACAAATTAAAAATAATTTCTAAGTTCCATAATGATATCTGTTTTGACTTACAGATATCCAAACATAAGAGGAATTTCTGGTTGTTTCAAGTTGACTTAAAATAATTAAAAATAATTAAAAAATAATTTCCAAACATATGAGGAATTTCTGGTTGTTTCAAGTTGATTTAGAACATTATTGCATTGTTGTCAAAGAATATACATCGTGTAATATTGACGTGTTGAAATTTTTTGAAACTTGCACTGTGGCCTAGGAAAAAGTCTGTTTTTTGTCAGTGTTCCCCCTATGCTATGGAAGAGTAATGTGAAGCTTTTGGTTAATGTTTTTCCTCTATGTCCATCACATAAAGTTTGGTACTCTAGTGTTGAAATCTCTTGTTTTCCTACTGGTTTTTCTCCCTGTTTGTTTCTATCAAGTGATAGCAATGCATTAAAATTTTTCACTGTATTTGTAGATTTATCTACTACCACTTTTTGTCATTCTGTTAATTTTTGCTTATACTTTGCTTTCATGTTATTAGGTCATTTCTTCCTGGTGAATTGAACCACCTTACTTTTACTTTTAAGTGACTCTCTTTATTTCCAATTATACTGTTTTCTTTAAAATGCCCTTTGATATCAATATAACTCCCCAGTTTTCTTTGGATTAGGGATTGCATGCTCTATTTTTTTCAATCCTTTTACTCTCAGCCTTTCTGCATTGGTATGTTTTAGCTGGTATTCTCATAATTACATAGTTGGCTTTTAAACATCCAATGAGATAGTGTTTATCTTTTAAATGGAATATTTTAGTGTATTTACACTTAATGTAAATATTGTTATATTTGCATTTCAATATTTCTAAAACTTAGAACTCTTTTTTTTTTTTAAGATTTTATTTATTTATTTGAGAGAGAGAGAATGAGAGAGAGCACATGAGAGTGGGGAGGGTCAGAGGGAGAAGCAGACTCCCTGCCGAGCAGGGAGCCCGATGGGGGACTCAATCCAGGGACTCCAGGATCATGACCTGAGCCGAAGGCAGTCGCTTAACCAACTGAGCCACCCAGGCACCCTAAAACTTAGAACTCTTAAAATAGTCTTTTACTCCGTCTTTGTACCAGTTTGTGTACATGCATGAGGATATTTGACAAATTTCTTTTTTTTTTTTAAGATTTATGTATTTTAGAGAGAGAGAAAACATGACTGGGGGGAGGGGCAGAGGGAGAGGGAAAGAATCTCAAGCAGACTCTGTGCTGACTGTGGAGTCCAATGTGGGGCTCAATCTCAGGACAACTAAGAGTCGGATGCTTAATTGACTCTGCTACCCAGGCAGCCCTTGACAAATTTCTTTTTTTTTTTTTTTAAGATTTTATTTATTTTTTGATAGAGAGAGACAGCGAGAGAGGGAACACAAGCAGGGGGAGTGGGAGAGGGAGAAGCAGGCTTCCC